TCTCATTTCAATAACAGTCATTATAAATTGTCAACTAACTATCAAGGGCGCGTATTTTTAAACTTCGCCATTGGCTCCATATTACGTAGATACGCCACTGTATTTGTCCCAGTGTTTTTCCAATCACCTTCCACTCTTTACATATTATCTTTATCGTATTCAAACATATTTCACAGGTCAAACGAACTGTCATTAATCCAAATTACGTACGACAGACAATAGTTCGAATAATTTGTATGGTGTTCCTCTTGGGCATCCCTTGGACCTTTGGGTTTTTGATGCTTCTTTCTCAAATGAAACTTTAAAGTCAGTATGTTCGATCATCTTCATTGTTTGTAACGCGTTACAGGTAGGTGAATTGCATTTAACGCTTTCAAAATATTGTAAAATCTGACAGATAAATGAAAAAAATAGTTCTATTGCTTTTCTGAATATAGAAATAGTATATTATCAAGCAATCTGCTTTATGTAAAAAAACATATTCATTGTTCTGTAACGAACTATTGTTTATATATGCAGGGCATCGTAATATTTGTGGTATTTTGTGCGATGCAAGAAAAGTTCCGCGAAAAAGTCGTTTCACTTTTCACGTCATGTCAAAAGAAGACAGTACCATCGATTAAATTTCAAGAAAGAGTCGAGACCAATGTAAGCAACCTTAAGAATTTCACCGGAATCGACACTTTCACCGGAAAGCTATTTTCATCTTCTACAAATGTTTTTCGATCATCTACTAGGTTAAATCAAAAAACAAATTGAACTTTTCTCTTAGATTTAGGAGTTTTTCAAAGGTTTCTTATGCTTTTCAATTTTGCCACTTTTCATAAAATGATCACGATATTTTATCTCAATTTTAAAATTATACTTAGTCCTGTAGATTATCTTTCGCACGATCTAAAACTTGTCTAAATATAATATATGGTTCGCGAGATATGAGTGTTTCAAAGTTATGAGCTCATACGGGATGCCAAACGTCAGAAGACTTTCTCGGGAAGCCGCTATAGCAGAATATACACATCAAAAATACAACTCTAAAATAACTGCAACGGCACTGTACTGAAACAATAATATCAGCCATTCAGCCTACTGTCTACTCTAGCATAAAAACATCCAACAAATCTCCATCCCGCAGTCACAAAACCACGAACAAACATCCCTGAAAACCCACCGGAAACCAGAGGCACTCCCACAGACGCTCATGACCAGAATCCAACCGAAAACCAACCACACTGTACGACAGCACACGCTAGCAAGATACCAAAGGGCAGATCGACAGTGTCACAGCGCCCTCAGTGTTAAAAACACAAAATAAAGCAAAAATATCACATGACATCAATTACCAGATGAAACAAGGGTGCTGACGCTTGACTATTGAGTAGGGTCAAAACAGTAGTTGTGTCTTTTAATTGTCAAATTAAAATATCTTACCAGTGCCATAAACATATATTATCAAATTTTACTAGTGTCATGCATCTAAAGCGTAAATAAATATTATCACGAGAGATTATGATTTATTCACAGATGGGAAATGGATCAATTCATAATTATGACAACAGAACATACCATGATGCATCTTATATGTAGTAAAACTGTGAAGACAGATAATGCAAAACGGCATTTTTGTTGTTATATGTCTTCGTCGCATTTGGCAAAATTATCTACAAACAAAGAAGATCAGGGAATGAGTCAGTTAATTGCTACGACTCGAACTAGGCAAAATATTTGAATATAGAATAGTGAATATTAAAATATGACATTTCACTATTCGAATATCTGGTAATACGTGGCCGCGCCATCCAATGGACAGAGCACGTCGCTAATCGAACACTTGGCTCTCGTCAACATCAGACGAACCGGTGCGACTTGGCTCTCACGAACAGGCAGAGACATCAATATCGTCTACATGTGTGTGTATGTGTGCCATTCTTTACGTTGTGTACGTGGTATTTTGTCTTCTAATTGCCATGATATTTTTTCATATTCTTAATTAGTGTAGTACGCACCAAAAGAGCACAAATTTCAATAATTTTCGTGATCGTTTTGTAATTTCAAAAACAAAAAAACATGTAATAATTGTACTAAAAATTTCCGAGATTTTTGAGGAAATAACAATTTGCTATCTTGCAATGCTTTTATTATTGTCGGTAATTTAACGGGAAAAATAACATTGAGGCATCACTGACGGACTGGTGACCGTGCAGGCATATCATATGCAATGACGACTTTGCGGAATTTTTATATAACGCGACAGAAAGTCGACGGAGAAAGGCTCCTTAAATCAGTATTAAAAAGGGCGGGAATATCGACCATCAGCGCCATGGTATCGCTTCCGGATATTCACTATTCGAATATTTAGTATTTGTTGAAATTATTCGATACATATATTCGACCTCCCTCCTTTTTGTTCGGTAAATTCGTTTAAATCTATGAGATATATAAATATAAACCCAAACCAAACATAACCCATGAAAGACCTGTCTCACTGGCGCCCATATAAATAACCGTAATGCCGACGGCTATAGAAAAAAAGGTTGTACAGTCCTGTCTTATTAACTTATTCAAAAATATCAGAATCGGAAAATAAGCTTCTCATATTTAAAATATGGCCATGTATGGTATGGAACAATACGAGGAATATCCTATATTTGTCTATGAATAAACAATAGAAGCATCGCAGTTTATTCGTCACTTCGCTCTCAATCATGTCCTGTAATGTAATCGAATTGAAAATCTTAACATATACAGAACATCTACAGTACTAAATCGGGCAATGCAAAACAAATCAGTTTTATACACGTTTTTCAAACTCCATAACAATATCCTATCCAAATACTTTCTCAACGTCACCAAAATGATTATTAAAACATTCTAAAATAAGATATATCACATATATTAATAACTTTCGACGCTTTACCTGCAATGTTAGTTTCGAGTATTCCATATGTGGAATGGCTGAGGCGGTCTGTAACGCGAACGTCGCTTACTCTATGTGACGCTGAGAGATCATGATTTCGTTGATTACTATATTTTGTACAATTCTTGGGTGGATCATGGCGCCTGTTTACTTATCCAGTTGTTAACATCGATGATAATGGCAGCAAATCTGTTGCATACATCGAAGATCTACGTGGCGAGATGGGAGATATTTGGAATAAACAAGTATTAGTATCAGTATAATGTTCTTATCTTAATTTAAAAAGTGTACGAGCATAATGATTTGTCGAATATGAAATTAACGATTACTATTAAAAAATGAAGAGAGAAAAAGAGAGATAGTTGAAGTTAATGTTGCACTGTGGACACCAAACGTAATATTTCTTAAATTGAAACGGTTTGTTGTATGCGTCCATGGCAGTAAGCAATCGGCACTTGAGACATGAAATTATTTTAATGGCAGTGAATATGAAAACTGTACCGTAATAAATATTACAATAAAATTAATATGATAAGGTCAGTTTAGAAAATAATATATATAAAAATAGTCAGATCATTTGTGAATATTTTTTGTATTGCATTGTTGAAAGCTTAGATTTTCCACAGTGACAACGAAAGGTAATAGCGAATACACTTTTATGAATAAGCCTATTCCCACTAATTTCGGGTTTTGTGACTTTCTGACCTCGAACCGAAGGTTAGTATTTAACAGACATTTCAACGACCTATCATCATTCGATTATAAATCATTACACGTAATATTTTATTATATTTTACAATAGATAGTGTAATGCAATATAACAATTCTTATTATTTTGAACTATTCAAATCGAATCAGACAAATTGTTTTTTTTGTGCATTTTAAATCAGCGAACTGCGTTTAAAATTACAACCTTATAAAAATATCAGTATTTTTGTTTTGATTCAAAAACTATTTGATTCTTGATCCAAAATATTTGATTATTGCCTCCCCCACCAATTATTGAAATCAATAACTCATTCACTCGACATTACTCGCTTAACATTTAACGCCGATAAATAGTATTGTATGCATCTTAATTTTTTAGACATATAATTATTCGATTTCTTTTCGAATTGCATTAAGACTTGAATGTATCGATACTTACGGACGTACCATGTTTTTAAACCAGAGCGGATATATTCGATTGTACGTTATTTATGTTCTATCATCGCCTCTTCCAAATTTTATTTCTGCTATTTATATTTCATTAAAATCGTGGTTACTGAAACTAATCAATCCCACACATAACACAAAATACTGCTTTTAAATCATGGTGAGAGACTATCAATTTCTGTCGCATACCTTGTATTTCGTGGAATACGGGGAAAATTTCTTGCGTAACTTTTCTTTATAAATGATAAAATGACGCAAGTTGTGACACAACTGTATTAACTTGAAATAAATTGTTAAAATCATTCAACGAACACGGAAATGTGTAAAAGTCTACGTCATACATGTATATTGGCGAAGCTGGAAACACATTCAGAAATAATGTGAGATATGGAAATGGCAGATTTTTTATTACGAGGGAAATAACTTTTAATAATTCAGATAGTTTAATAGTACTCAGTCAGTGCATCCTTAATATTGCAAAGGTATTGAACATTGCGTTGGTAGTTTGCCCATCAGAGAGGTCAGGTTCACTGTTTTATTTGCACACAACTATTGAATACTCGACAGTAAAAGCAGCATTGTTTAGAATTGTGTTGAAGGAATGTGAATGGATATGTGATTATACCGAATAACGGAAGCATCGGCTTTCAGTATTCGTTTCTTCTGCCATTACCCTAATTTTCCGTTTTTTTTTTTTTGAGTCACCCTCCACGTTCGAAAATGTATAATTTTGTGCAAAATAGCTTCACTTACGTCTCATATATTATTCTGATATACCAGACCAGAAAAGCGAATTGTCAATTATTGCAAGTCATATAGATATCATTTGTCATAAAATCCGGTCGATTAGCAATATATCCATGAAAATAATCAACATTGAATGTTCGCAGAATTCCGAGACGTGAACGGGATAAACGTGACATATTTCATTTATATCATGCATTGTATAGAGTCAAACCACAGGGACCTCAAACGTAATCAGGGATCATATCAATGTCATCATCGTTCGAGTAAATTTCCCGTCAGAATTTTAAAAGCTGAATCCCATTTCGATAGAATAAAATACACCTTAGCCAGCTGTTAGTTCTATAGCTAACTCAGATGAAACTACAATGTTATTGAATAGCTAGCTACCATGATAATTGTACTAACTGTCTCTTCCCAGATCCATAGCAGCGTATATCTGATTTCGTTTCCACTGTTTGGACAATTTTCTATACGATATCATGTCAACAAATAAACAATAACGGGATATAAATCCATGTATTAAAAAAGGGCTTGTTTTCACAGAAAGTATACAACGGCTATCGTTCTTCCACTAAAGTCTATATTTGGTAGCGTAGTAGTATATTTGTATAGTACCGTATAGTTGATTTTGCATCCATTGTTTCAACAAAACGTGATAGCAATCTACGTATTTCCATGGCTTCATTGTGCACAAAAAGTAGACAACGGTTATCGTTCTTCCACTAAAGTCGTTATTTTGTAGCTAATCCGGGCATGCGTATATCAGCGGAAGTAACGTTTACCAAATTATTAGAATCGGGCTATTAAAATGAACCAGCATGAACTTGGGATTTACCTCTAAAACCTGGGATTTACCTGTTACTTTCATATTTTGTACTATCATATATAGAAATCATTATACATGTGGTCTTTAGGAAAGGAACTAGCGAAAATGGAACGAAACTCAACGAAACCATCAGGCAAAGCATTTTTATAAATTGAAATCCCGATCGCAAAAACGCCCAGTATTATTACGCAGTTCGATTCTCTTGTCACCTGTAAATTATAGTTGATTTTACTGCCATTCTCACTGACAGAAGTACTAAACTGATTGCGTGACGTAAGGTTGGCTAAACGTAGACTACGGCGTTGATTAAGTAAGTAGGCGACAATAGGGCAGAAAGTGAAATTCAGAAATGTTTTTGGATTTTTTCGTTGTTATAAATAGATATCATAAACCCCATTTCTCCATTCAAACGTCACCAATAAAAAAAAAGCTATTTTGACTGATGTTAGTGACCTATTGCTGTAATTACTTACAACTTTCAAGATTTGACAAAATATATAATTTAATTCATATTAAATACGTATCTCAACTAAAATCATCATTTTAGCAGAGGCAGTTTTCACTAATTATGACAACATTGCTTGTAAACGCTTGTTGGATCACAAGGCGTATTTAGTGAATGTAGGAGAGTTAGAATATTGGCATCAGTTTTACTAAAAAATAATCGTTCAAAGTTTTCGAAAGAGCTCCACAATCTAAAATTACCTTCTTTCCCGTTGCTTCTCTCTTACATAATGCGGTCCTAGTATCGTCATATCCGATATTTTACTGAAGCAATATTACAGCCCCTTTATACGTATTAGTGGGCTTTTTAAAAATTTTTGGTATAACGTAGGTGACGCACTTGTAAAAATTACCTTTTATCGCGTAAGTTGCCTAATGAAACCATACCATATATATAATTTTGTAATTTATTAATCAAATCGTCTCAATTTCCCCAGAACAAAAACAAATATTTTTATCTATATCAAGCGAATATATCTTTTTTTTGCAGTTAGTTGTGACCAATATGGTTCCATAAAATGGCAATGGCCTTTTGAAACGATTCGAGTATTTTGTTTTTCATGTATGTTTATATATATACTGTTATTTTATCAACGTATGTTATATCGGGTGTTTTAAAAAATCAACATAAAAGTTCAGATTAACGATTTATCATCCAATGTGGTTAATATTCTCTATAATGGGACTAAAATCAGACAATGGTATTTCGTCATTTCATGTTTAAAACCTGGGAAAGTGTTCAGTCCGTCATTGATGTAACTGTAGGGAATACTGAAAAAGGAAGTCGTGTCCGATTGACGGAGATTGTCGATTCAATTGACACATGCAGTTAGTAGATCATAAAGAAGGGATACAAACGATGCGGCTCATTCATTTAGTTATTTGCTAACGGACGGGTCTATGTACGAACAACCGCAACTGTTAAAATTACTAGTCCTGAGAGTTGCGTAGTTAGTCTTTCCAACAGACAGTTTTCGATTCTCCGGTAAAGATTAATTATTTTTCAGACATTTTATATTTAATTTAAACATTTCAAATGGTTACCATAAATATCGTCTCTGCGTTCCTGCTACTGATTCTTCACAACAAAGGTAAGTAGAGCAAAACAGTATTTCTCGACAAAGCTAAGTGATTGAATTTAGTTATTCGTTGACTATTTCAAATAGAAATTGTGGTCAAACGAGATAGTGTAAACTTGAGAGTATGAGAAAACTACATTGTGTTTATTCACGTATTCGGTATTTTATTTCAAAAATGGCATTCAAAATGCCGCATAAGTGATGTCACTTAACTTTCATATACCTTCGTTTATTTGAATTTTATCCCATCTCAGAATTCTAGTTTTTTGATCTAAATATTTCTACCAGTCTGCTGGAACCTTTTTGAGCTAAGAAAATAGGTTTCAGGTGATAGGAGTTTGGATTTGTCAGCAATTGTCCATTTAGTTAGGATGAATCAGGAAAATTAAGTACGAATTGTTTGGTGACTTCCGCATTGTTTCACATATTTTGCAGCAGTTCATGTTCGTCAATGACCTATGATCGATAATATATAGGCAATTTGTCTTTTGCGATAACGGATACACACTTTGCCAATGATGGCGTTGTATTTTGCATCCTCTGATGCAATCCTATCAATCATTTCACTTCATTCAACCTTATTCACTATTGCTAGCTATTAATTTTGATCACCTTTATAGAGATTATTTTTTTCAGTTGAAGGCCAGGAATTCATCGCCTCAAGTTCAATAGTGAATGGAAAGCGATATCATTTATCGGCTGCTCCAGACACTTGGCACAGATCCCACAATAATTGCCTCAGCCACCAATGGAGGCTTGCGATAATAAAAAATAAGGAACAACAAACAGTTTTAAACGAGTTAGCTTCTTCATACGGGAAGGATGTTTGGATAGGACTGAGAATGAGAATGGTTGGACCAGAAGGAGGCATTAGCACTGGTTGGTGGAGTGACGGAACACCATACAACTCCACCGTAAGGTATGATGTAGCAATATTTTTTATACGCAATATTAGCAACAATATAATTTTATATTTTATACCAAACTAGACTAAAACTACTAGTCAAAGAAGTATTAGATATTCCAAATGCCATTGTGCTTTTCACAGATTCGGCCTCAGCGTAACCAATTTAATTCCGATGGAGATTTTAGACTCGAGAAATAATTTTTTGCAAATATACTCTAACTAATTTTTTAATGATATCTCAGAATTATACATGTTCATATTGATAATTTATACTTATCATAACAACCTAACAGCTTCGACAACTGGAAAGAAGGTGAACCGCAATCAAAAATATCAAGTCCATGCGTTTACATGTGGCAAAATTTTTCTTTTGGATGGGATGATTGGTACTGTGACAAACTATTTACTTACGCTTGCGAGGAAACAGGTGAACATATATTTATATTTATAATTAACTTTTCACGTTGTGATATGCATTATTTGACCCATTTTATAACATTCAGGATCGAAATTGAATGAGTATGGGTTAGTTAAAACGAAATAACTCCAAACCTCTTAGCACCGTATTTAAGGAAAGGAACGATGAATTCAATATCAGGATTCAACTGGTTATATAAATATATTATCTATATATATTTGAATTTTGTAATTTGTAACTTTACTCAAGTTGGATTGAAATCGATGTCACCCGAAGAATTCCAGATACAGGGAGTATCTATTTTGAACAAAACTTTACACCTGGAGAGCAATTCAGAAAATTTGAAAACAGTTTCTCAAGATTTAGACAATATGTTAAACGCGAATTCTAATTTATTTGACGACCAGCAAAACATGTCGAGAAATATTCTCAATTCGTTTGATAGTTTTCTGGAAAAATATGACGTAACAAAGGTAAGCGAGTATGCCGTTAATAACTATTTTTATTTTATTTCGTGACTTGGTGTTGCATATCACGTAACAGGACTTACATAACGTGTCTTACTGTAAAACAGCAAAATTATTGAGTATTGAGAATCTCAAATTTTTTCTCGAATTTATCATCTTTGAACACATTTAACACATTTTTCAGAACGGAGATTTTTCTTCTAACAAAGAAAATTTGCAAATCAACATCAAACGAATAAACCACAAGGTTGACTTAATTTTAAAAGATGATATTAGCAACAAAGCAGAAAGTAATTTGACATCAATAAGGTTGAAATTAAGCAGAGACATTCTTAACGAAGCTCAAAAGCGTTATGAACGAACGAATCCTTCACAAACTGCACAAGTTGGGTCTGTACTTTATAAAACTCCGAGTTTGTTCCAAGCCAATAAAACAGAATACGTGGAAAAACTGGACGCGAATAATATCACTTACGAGGGGAAAGATCTTGAAGTTTCTACTTTTGGAGAAGAACCGAACCTTAAATTAGCAACAACAGTTTTGACGAATATTATTTCGGCTGAAGTCTTTCACGTGGATATGTCGAATTTATCCAGTCCAATTTGTATATCAGTAGAAAAAAAAGATAACGTGAGTTTATATTATAAATGCAATCCAATCGCATATATTTATATAAATGGAGGAATGTAAATGATATATTTGTATATTTATTCAAATAATCAGTTTAACAACATATCGTATTGAATGGCACAAATCAATCTACTGCAATACCCATGCAACAAGGTGCATAGCTGTCTGGAGATAAATGGCCGAGAATCGTGGCCTAAATTTGGGCAGAAAAATAAATAAATGTTTTGAGTTGTATTTCTATAATTTGTATGTAGAACATATATAGGTATCAGGTCCCCTAAAATGTTGCAAAGACGATCAAACATTGTTGATTTAACAGGACGCAGAATTACCAGAACTAAACAATATGAAGCCCAATATGAAAATACGATGTGCATTCTGGGATCCAAATCTGAACGATTGGTCTGAAGAAGGATGTGCTATGATAGAAACAATTGACAACACACACGTTTGTCACGACGGCATTGTCAATCTTACAACTGAAAATCAGTACATAGTTTGCCAGTGCAACCACTTGACACATTTTGCTTTAATTCAAGTAAGTATATGATAAACTGAAGAAATAGATGTTTTTGTGGTCAATCCAGAGGGGCCAATCTAATATTCTTAAATATTAATTTCAACTAAATGACATTTACCTTTTCCATGTCGATTCATAGCTGAGAAATAGCACAGGAGACTGTTTTTTGTAAAATAAGCCTTTCAACTTGGAAGGATGATACAAAACCAAAATACCTGCCTAAATCCATCTGAACGCGATATTTTTTATATTCCGTATATAAAAGTCTTAGAATTTGAAATAATTATGTACCATGAATTTTTTTTGGGGGTAGAAAGCAATTGCATAAAAATTGGGGAAACGGGTACAGGAATGTTTTACTGAAGTATTTATCTAAAATATTCAAAATCTAAATTACAGGATGTTGAATACACGTATGCCCCAAAATATTTGGATTATTTAACATTGACTGGATGTATCGTGAGTGGCGCATTTCATTTCTTCACCGTCATCACAATTTTATGCTTCAAGTGAGTTATATCATTTTTATTGACATATTCCTTCAACAGAAGAAATAAATCTGTTTCCTTTTTATGTCATTTCAGGAGCATGAGAACGGACAAAATTCGTTTAATAATCTTACATATTTCTGCAAATTTATTCATCGTCAATGTTATTTTTCCGATTGGAATTGACGACAATGATAATGAAATCATGTGCGAAATCACGTCGATTGCCCTTCATTACTTCATGCTGACGGCGTGGGCATGGATGTTATTGGAAGCTGTTTACCTATTTCATGCTTTGTTTTTATCTCAACATGTTGGTGGACCTGGTGCAAAAATGATAGTCATTGGTGGATTGTTGGCCTATGGTTAGTGTTAGACACTTTTCATGATTAATGTATAATATATAAACGGTTCACTTAGGTGGTAATGGTAGGTAATACTTTTCGAGTATTCTCAAGCAAGGTTGTGTTTCATCGAGCGGTGCCTCTGCAGGTACTTTCCAATTCCAATTTGACAACACCAAACGAGTAATAGCAAACATTCGCTACTTTTATTTATAATCTTCGAATCGGAGTTGTGATAACATTTATTGGCCAGCACGATTATCGAATAATTTTAGGCTAAATATTTACAGTGATACCTGGAGCAGTAGTAGCTATGTCAAAAATATTGTCGACGTCGTATCGGAGCAAAAGATATTGTTGGTTGTCTTCAGAAATCATCAATTTTGCATTTAATATTCCAGTAGGATGTGTATTGGTTTTCGACGTTGTCGCTTTATTATCGGCAATATATGGCATGACTTGTGGACTGAAGGTAATTTACTTAAACCTCTTTTTATTCGTGTTCTGACTATTTCCCATTCATGATGTTGTATTACTGAAGATCTTTATCCAGAGGCGTATCTAGGATGTGGCAGCCATGGATCCGTGCCATGGGCGCCGTTTAGAAAGGGGCGCAAAAACTGCGAAAGGTTACAATAAAATACTTTCAAATTTGAAATACCTGGAACTCGTGTTTTTACTCAAATAATAATGTATAGGAATCTCATTTCAATAACAGTCATTATAAATTGTCAACTAACTATCAAGGGCGCGTATTTTTAAACTTCGCCATTGGCTCCATATTACGTAGATACGCCACTGTATTTGTCCCAGTGTTTTTCCAATCACCTTCCACTCTTTACATATTATCTTTATCGTATTCAAACATATTTCACAGGTCAAACGAACTGTCATTAATCCAAATTACGTACGACAGACAATAGTTCGAATAATTTGTATGGTGTTCCTCTTGGGCATCCCTTGGACCTTTGGGTTTTTGATGCTTCTTTCTCAAAATGAAACTTTAAAGTCAGTATGTTCGATCATCTTCATTGTTTGTAACGCGTTACAGGTAGGTGAATTGCATTTAACGCTTTCAAAATATTGTAAAATCTGACAGATAAATGAAAAAAATAGTTCTATTGCTTTTCTGAATATAGAAATAGTATATTATCAAGCAATCTGCTTTATGTAAAAAAACATATTCATTGTTCTGTAACGAACTATTGTTTATATATGCAGGGCATCGTAATATTTGTGGTATTTTGTGCGATGCAAGAAAAGTTCCGCGAAAAAGTCGTTTCACTTTTCACGTCATGTCAAAAGAAGACAGTACCATCGATTAAATTTCAAGAAAGAGTCGAGACCAATGTAAGCAACCTTAAGAATTTGTTTACGCAAAGAATTATGCCCGACAAAGAAACACCATAAAACTTTGCTTTAGGAATTTCTCCAAATTAGGGAGATGGTGGAAGCCATTAAAATGAACTGTACAAAGATATATTCTGAGAAGAAAATTTATAATTTTGCTCATTATTTGCGTTTATTTGAATACTTGTATAAACAATAAGTTGAACTTTTATAGTATCGAATTGCAAGCTCCCATGTGCCATTTAGGTCCACGATGAAAATGCCAAAGATACTCCCAACACTGACACGTCTTCCTCTCTCCCGCCACCACCGCCGTCATGGCAACGTTTACGTAATGAGGAACGACCATACCGCAGCAGATGGATATGATTCAGCAATATTCAACCGACTTAACCCAGTGAACGATCACTCATACGTAATAGTCAAGAGCTCGCGTTATAAAACTGTAGCAGGCGGTTGAACACCCAAACGGCAAGTTTATTATTTCGAAAATAGCAGGAGTGATATTCAACGTATTTGGAGAGCTTTAGGTTTCGAATAATGGAAAAGTTGTCGTCCATGACTGCGATTTATTATATATATATAGTTTTCTACAACTATTTAATGGCTGAAAAATTTATGCATGCATCATTTCTTGGGCAATGAAGTTATTGCTACCCACCGCACATCCAGTTTAACACTGCATAAACGTAAAAACAATTTTTTAAAACAATGCGATTTATTGCCTCTGATATATATATCTTCTTTTAATGCGTAATCCGAACTATTTATTTTATAGTGAATAAAGTCTTTTTTACTAGAAAGAAATTGATCGTATTCCAACAAACTGGAAATTACTTTGAAATATAGTTTTACAGTACAAAAAATGATACAGAATAAGAAATATATATACTTTGAATGCTTCAAGTATTAGACCACAAATATGCAACTCAAAAGCAGTTGGAGGTAAAGATTTTATTCGATTTTCCAAGTGATTCAATCTCTTTTTTCGCTACATGAATTATTGCGTGACAATTATTTACCATATGGGTTATCATAGTGTTGAATCCAAGCCCTGACCACTGATTTCAATTTGTTAAAGGAAAATAGTTCAAACCAGTGTCACACGAACTTACTCAAACAATAGGAAGATAGATAGATATTTGAGTGGAGTTGGGGGCTACCACTAAAATACCAAGATCTATCTGGACTATGACGAATAGAATTGAGCATTGAATTGAGTACAGTACGAGTAAGTGACACGTCATCATAGATGAATGTAAATGCTGGGCGCCGTAAGACTTAAGAATCTATCGCTGGTTCCCTTTGTTCAGGTAGGGCTTGTCACAGAATCTCCTCACTCCTGAGTTATTCTAGCAAACGTTGTCTTATCAGAGCCATTTGTCTTCCCCTGATGAGATTGAGTTTCTATGGGATACTTTCATACGCTTCAATACCTTCCACGGACCCAGACCTGTCTTAAATTATTTAGCAACTTTCACTAGTAAATACGAATAAGCTCGATCCTTACTCGCAAAAAGCTTGTCAGGTACTCACTCTACCGCTCACTAAACATGCCATTGTCCTTTTTTTCGCATCGCAATATTGCGCAACAAGTCACATGGCTGATAATCGATTTACATTTATGTATAAGAGTCAAGGCCGACGGTAAAATCGATTTAATTTTATATGTGTACCGACTAGAATTGTTTGACTTGATGTATATCATTCACGTGTGTCTGAATCTATAATTAAACGTTGAATATATTAGCAAATTTAACAAATAAAGTTTGGGAGGGGTGTTCACTCATCATATGGGGTTATAGAGAAATCACTGATCCCGACTCAGGCAAGATTTTGATGTTACAAAGAGTTATTGAACACATGCGAGGATGTCTGAACAAGATGGGTACTCTAGATTCGTTCAATGTGTAGCTTACCGGCAGTCTATGAAATAATCATCCAAGTTCAGAATATCTTCCAATATATATGGTCTGACGTCAAGTTTCCTCTCAATATTCACTTCAAGTTATGCTATTTTATTTTATTCATTAATCATCAATCTTAATACAACCAAATACTCCAAACAAAACGACAAGCATACAATAAAGCTTCAAGTACCTGGCAGCACAGTGCAGGAAAACAGAATATACACAATAAAAACACTTTGAACAGTACTGATGATAGCTAATTCCCTGACAACAACCAAAAATACAACGCTAAAATAACTGCAATGGCACTGTACTGAAAGAATAATATCAGCCTACTGTCTAGCATAAAAACATCCAACAAATTCCCATCCCACAGTCACGAAACCACAAACAAACATCCCTGACAACCAACCGGAGACCAGAGGCACTCCCACAGACACTAATGACCAGAATCCAACCGAAAACCAACCACACACAGACAAGTGCAACCTGCCAACCACAGCACACCCTAACAGGCACACCACAGCACCCCCAAGAGAACAGAACCGACAGTGTCACAGCGCCCCCAATACCAAAATACCAAATAAGGCAATAATATCACATGACAGCATTTAACAGATAAAACAAGTGTCGTCACAAACGCTTTCAAAGGGTTTGATCTGAAGGAAAACGGTGATAACTGTGCCAAGATCTGTGTAAAGTTTGTCTGCCAGCTAGATGTTTGCAGTGAAGGTTGCTCAGGTCGACAAGCAAAAGTGTTTGAATTATAAGGTAGGAATCATTGGCGTTGAGACCGATGATGTTTTTAGAATCTTCGCTTTGTCTGAATCTAGGAAGCATGTCATTCAATGTGCAGACACTCCGCATCATATTTGTTATTTTATTTCAACTGGGGTTGGTTGTTGTACAATGGATGGACTCCAGTATAGCCTAGGCTTAATCTGGCGTCTAGTCACCAAAAATAGATCGCGATCGACTGATCGGTAATAAGGTCCCACACAAAAACGAATGGGCACTGAATGTGCATATAGCTACATACAAAAAATTCCACCGCTGCCAATAAGTGGGCTTTGTGGGCACATTATTATTAAAGTCGACACAAAATTTGTATTTTTTATGTTTCATTCTAAGTTGTTGATTTGAATTATTAATGGTACCCAGATTAAATGTTTCATCATTTATTTAAGTTTTATTTAAATCATACAATTCAGATAAAATGCGTGCCTAATTTTTAGTCATAAGTGTTGAAAATTTCCCAAGAAACCTTGCCAAGTATCATCCAAACAGCAAACAATAAATATTCTCAAACCATGAATGTTAAATGACTGCTCAAACTTCAGTACCTAATTTACAATTTCCTCCAAGCGCAATTCTTCTCCTGCTTAGAATTAGGCATCAATTTGGGCATTTTGATGCCACTGCTACCATTGCGGATAAAATTTATCACATTACTTTTGGAGTGAGACAATAACTTTCGCATACTGCGGACGCGGAGGATCGTTTGTCAGTCTAGACCAGGGGTGGCCAACCTATGGCGCATGCGCCAAACGTGGCGCATTGCATGATTAGAGGTGGCGCATTGCATCTTTAATTAACCCTTTTCATGCCAAAATTGTTAATTGCACTTGGCTTCTCCACGCCAAGCCGTTTTTTTTTGCGACTTACATGGTTTCTTTTGATTGTACCTAAAATCTATTCTCCTTACTCCACGTCGCCCACTTACGGCTTGTTGGAATTAGAAACAACAGGCGATTATCGACGTTAGCTTTTGGACGGACTTTATGACATTCATTCTAGACTTTTAGCAAAAATTAGTAAAATTTACTATTTTTTCCCTATTGAAGTAAAAAGTTCAGAACTTCTGGAAAAATAGAAAATCGTCATTTATCAGCTTGAAACATGGATTTTCCATTGCCCAGACTTCCCAAATATCTTCCAATAACCATTTAACAACCAGTTCAACCAGAATTGCCCAAGCCTAAAAAATTTATTATAAATCAACCCACAACATGCTGAAAATGACCCCTAAATACCACCTTTGATAAAATCGTGCCTGGAAACTTTCCAAATAGATACTAGTAAACTCATCAGTGTGTGTACTGATGGAGCCCCGTCAATGATCGGTCAAGTTGCTGGGACTACCACTTTGTTTGATAACTTTTTACATCGTCCCCTCTTAAAATATCACTGCATTATACACCAAGAGGCACTGTGTGGAAAAAGTTTAAATTTGCAGCATGTTATGTTGCCAGTTGTGAAATGTGTGAATAAAATCAGAGCAAGAGCATTAAACAGACGAGAATTCAAAGAATATTGTGAAATGTTGGATTTGGAATATGGTGACCTTGTCCTTCATTGTGAGGTGCGCTGGCTTTCTAGGGGACAGGTGCTGAATAGATTTTGGAAGCTAAAAAATACTGTCCCTGATTTTCTCGAAGAGAAAAACGAGCTACCTGAGGAAAGAGCACTTTTATGTGATAAAAGCTGGCTATTTGATTTGGCATTTTTAGTTGATGTTACTAGCCATCTCAATGATCTAAATTTGAGACTGCAAGGCAAAAGCAAACTATTTCCAAGCTTAGTAAATGACATTATCGCATTCAAGATGAAGTTGAAACTTTTCGTCGCCCAGTTGGAAAAAGAGGATTTGTCCCAATTTCCTCACATAAAAGAACACCGTGAATGTGCTGCTGGTAATGGCAATTTGGCAATATACACAGGAAAAATATAGTTATTGCAAGAGTCATTTGAAAGTCGTTCTCATGATATTTCAAAAGAAGAAGACCCTATACTTGCTTTTATAAACCCATTTTCACTTAGTGAACTAACCATAATGAAGATGCCAAGCAATATACAATTGGAACTAATTGACTTGAAAACTCATCCATCATTGAAAATTAAATTTGATGAGCTTTCTTCAGTCCCAAGTGCATCTGACATGATCAAGTTCTGGCAATCGTTACCCCGTGACAATTTTCCAGAACTGAGAAAATTTGCCCAGGGTTTTATATGTCGTTTCGGAACGACATATAGATGTGAACAAACATTTTCTGCCATGAAACTAATTAAAAGCAAAGCGAGGTCAAGACTTACAGATTCAAATTTGAAGAATGCACTGCTCCTCTCAGTAACAAACTTAACTCCAAGAATAAAAAAACTGGCGAAAGTAAAACAGCAGCAAAAGTCTCATAAAGGCGGTACTTAAATAAAATTGATCAGTTTTATTTATTATACTTCCTTGCTTAATTTCTATTCATGTGAAGTTGTAAATTGTAAAAACTACATATACGTGTGTATATATGTGTGTGTATTATAAATTTATATAATTTCAACAAGAAGCGGACATTAGGCGTGGGAATACAAGAGATTTACGGCGCATCTGAAACATTATGTTTAAAACGTGGCGCATGATATGTGAAAGGTTGGCCACCCCTGGTCTAGACCTTTAGAGACTCTAGACTAGAGCTAGAGCGATATTCGGCACTTCTTTTTTAAACCTTGGCAGCGGAAAAACTTGCATTTGTTACGTAATAATATGCTTTATCGGGCTTGCCCAGACTCAAATGCTGATGTATATTTGAGTTGGGTTGCGCGAGACTAACTTCCTATTTTTTCTCCATGATTTTATGCTAGTGGATCCGTATGCGTATACTGCAAGGATACTGTAGCTGGAATAAACATAACTATTCTATCCAATCAAAGAGTCCAGCCGCTAAACTTCCTCATGGTTCTCTAAGTGCCTATAATCTTAATTACATTTAGTTACCAATCATTTTCGTAAATGCAATAAAATATTTTTTAATCACATCTGAAATGAGCTCCACTGATATTTGTGGTTCTAATTTTTCTATCATTACTTCTACGGCTAAATGCAAATTAAATGTTTATGTATTGTTACGTCATACTTGATTTGAGATTTCAAATTTATTTATCAAATTTATTTCTTGCCATTGTTGTAAACTGCTTGTCTGAGGAGTCTGACTCTGGTCGAACGAAACGTTACAGAAATACATTTGTGTTAGTGTGCAGCTGGACTCTTTAATTGGATAGAATACTGATGTATATATATATTTTATTTTACACATGTAAAGTAATGTATTCTTTCTGTTGTAAAACACACAACTGGTTCGAGGCAATTTTTAGGGGTATTTTCAATAAAATTCACTTAACATCAGACGCGGTCGACTGCTCGAGACGTGGCGATCGACCGGTCGAACGCGATCGACGTGTTGGCCACCCCTATCCTATACTAATGATAGGCTAAATATTCCATCTTATCTAGGTTTCGCATATTACAGCTAACGTTAACGAATAGGATAGTGTCGGGCATGTGCCAATGTAAAAACCCAGTCACTGTTTTCCAAATAACATTCCTATGTCAACTGTTTTTGTAGTTTACATGATAACAAGTGCTGCAAAATTCATCGAAAACCACTTAAGCAAAACATTTTTCAATTATTTTAAATATTTAAACAATGGTAAGAAAACTCAAAAATGTTCTGAATGATTTGTGAATAAAGATCTGGTATTGGCGTAATCTATCAATCGTTAATGGCAATGCCTCTCATCGTTGCCTCTGCTCATGTCTTTTACTATTGCCTACGTCGTATGAAGACGAAACAATATTGTGAGGCGATTTTGAACTACTACTACTTCTTTCATATTCATTGGTATTAATCGATTTTGATTAAAGTTTATCAGATTTGAAAAGAAAATCAAATTTTCCTAAGCAATCTGCTTACACAATTTTGGGACCTCCTGAAGTATGCGCACCAAGATGGCGCACAACCTGAACTCAGGTTGTGTATCGGGTTAGGGTTCAGGTTGTGCGACATCTTGGTGCGCATACTTCAGTAGTACTTAATTTTGTTTTGATTTTCTCAACCACTGATACTTCACTGAATATCCGCCATTCTTTCGGTATATGCTAAATGTTTGACAATTAAAGTTTGAGTTGAAATTTATTCACATTATAAAGTAAAAATAACTTAGGCATAGTAGCCACGTTAATATCATTTTTTATATTAATTTATTATACATACAAAAATGGGTTAATTTTGGGAAAAAGAGGAAATATTCTGTACACTTAATAAACAAATATACACTCATCTCATTGAACTTAAGGCAACTTTACCGACACTATCATCGTTTAGCTATTTTAGCATCCCATCATAAACCATAATCGAGAAAGAGACGTTAGAAATATACCACTACTATATGCTATCTTATGATATTATTGCATTACATTCTACAAGAAGCCAAAAAATTTTAATTTATAAGAAAGCCAGCTATGATAAAAAAAACATAAAGTTACGACTGAAAAACGAATTTCCATATAGTTAATTTATCTCCTAATAGTCGTCTGCTATGCATTTCCTATTTTCAAATTCGAAATAGATAATGACATCACATGACGACAATTAGTGTATTAGGAGTTCCTTTTATCTGTAACGTTTCAGTTTCAAATGTAATTACATTCATATATATTTCACTTTCTGTGGAACACAAAATAAACTGTTACGGAATGTCCGATCTGGTTTCGGAAAGTCTTCCTACTTTCGTTTGGGATAACCATTATATCGAAATCCAGAGATTTTAGTCTTGAACTTTTTCCAACTTCCTGTAGCGTGGCGCGAGTTTTTACACCATGCCTGAAGAAATGTCTTTGTTCACGACCATCCATGTCTGAAAGGTTTCGCACTTCCGCTCGATGAATTAGCGCTGTTAACGTTTGTCTCATCCGTTGTCTGGCTTGTTATTTCTGCTGGAGATCTTTCGTTTGTAAATGTGTTCGTCTTGGTGTCGTCACTTTGCGCTGTTCCATCAGTATCATTCACAAACTAGAATATAAAAAAATAGATTATACATACTTACTTAGAATGAAATATAAAATTTAGGAAATTTCAATATAATCCACAGCGAAGCAATTTGCTTTCAACCTAATTTTTTTTTTACAAAATGAACTCAAAGTACGCATGCATATGAAGTGGACAACTTACTCCTTGGTGCCTGGAGCTACTTTCGCGTTTACTCTTTCTTACAGATTGAACTCGGCGTACGACTCGTCTGAATTTTTGATTCATAGGTCCTATCCAGAGCTTTCTCACTTGTTCTTGTCTCGCACAGAAAAAGAAAAATATGGCGACACCCTGCATAAAAAGAAGTTTATTTATGTTCTTGCTTGACCTTTCACACAAGAGTTTTTTATTTGCCGTAAAACGTGGCTTATGTCGATGAATGTTTAAAACAATTCATTCTTACTTGGGTGGTATTCAAAACAGTAAAGCAGATTGCAAAAACTTCTTTCGCTTCTGGAGACTGGGCCAACAACATGAAGAATCCGAACAGCCATGGAATACCAAGAATGAAAATCATACAGAATGCTCGGATCAGGGTTTGTTTTACTTTTGGAAGATCAACTCGTTTACGAAACATCTAAAAAATATAAAATATATTTTAAAGGTAATATTTTTAGTCGCTGGTCCGTCGCCTAATCCACAAATAAAAACAAAAAATTATGTATTATATTGCCACCTGACTTCTCAAAAAGCGGTCCCTGATAATAACTGTGGCGTGCTATACAATCAATCTTCGGTTTCATTTGAGTTAGACAAATCATAAAATAAAGTGTTTTATGTCTATAGTGGCTAAACACACACTTCATAGCTCAATGCTATTTTTTTCATCTTGACCATGTCTATTACAGCATTTCCCATTCATAGCTTTTAGTTATAGTTACCAATACCAAAAACCGCATTGTGCTTCACCAACGTTGAGTTGGTACCGGTATGTACTGAAGCCTACAAAGTTAACAAACTCGTAGTGAGTTCCACACTCTAGCAAACATTAAAACCCCTCACCTTTGATCTGAACGTTATTGTGTATAGGACGCATACGAAGATGATCAAATTGCTGAATAAAACCAGCGCAATCGGAACAAGTACTGATGGAATAAGAACGGGCATCGCCAACCAGCAATATTTTTCACTTAGATATACATCGGGTCTAGTTATTCCAACAGATAATCCAGCGATCAATCCGGGGAAACCTAAATAAATATATTTGTAAATGCAAATGTGATAGTAGTAATTCCATTTATAGCTATTGTCATAGGAAAGGTGGATTAATGGATATCGCGGAACTCTAATATGTATGTTATATGGATCAAAGCATACCATATGCCATTAGTCCTCCAACGGGAACGATCTTGCCTCGAACTCCGTCATTATATGATGTCACAACAAGCCGTAGAAAAAGAAACATTGCTTCAATAAACATCCAAGCCCAGGCCGCCAACAGGAAGTAATGCAACATTGCCGCTATGACAGTGCAAAACAACATTTCATCTCGGCGATCGATGCCGACTAAGAACAATATGTTCATGAGGAAAAGGTTTATGCACAGTTGGAGTAAAATCTGTTGAGCGGTTTTGCTCCTCAATTGCCTGAAAAATATAAGCTGCAATGATACCGGCACAATAAGAAGAAATTTGATCATATATCAACGCAAGATAGGTATTATTAGTATTTCGTTTGAATAAATACTATTAATACAGAACAAAGTATTTTGTGCCTCGCACTATACGTTATGTGAAGGTTACTACGCAAAAGAAAGTAGGTGAGCTGCAGTAGCATAAACATAACAGATCAGGTACTTTTATATATTGATTATCAATCACAATTATTTTATAAAAGCATGAAGTAATTGATTACATTTTGTCCAGATATTACTGTTCGATCTGGAATACAAATATTCTGCATTAACTTGCTCGAAACTAGGGCTAATTTTAGATCATTAATTACCATGCTCTAGACAAAATGCCAAAACAGCCCAAAATTGCAAGATTTCATAATCATATTTCAAACAAGATATATCGAGAATAAGTATATGTCATGGGTGGCAATGTCCTGAAACGCATGTAACCCAATACCCAAGTCTGAATAATGTATTTATTTGAGCTCCTTATTTAAAAAAACAGATCGGGTCGCTTGAGTTGGCTGTTGCCGACGATACATGACACATATTAATGTCATTTGGTCACGTTGCTGTCAAATAACTAAAAATCATTCCAAATTTACGCGTCAATAAACTATAAACCAGTGGTAACCATAGTCAATATTGAAATTATTTCTCGAAAAAAATACCAGCGAAAATGTTATCAGCCATCCATTTTGGGTAAAATTTCGATTTTAGCCACGTCTCGTCGCGTTTAAAACAAAAAATATATGATTTGAGTTCCGGGTAGCAGCCATTTTGTCATTTATCAACTGTATTTATAATAAAATCGTGAAATGTTTAAAACATACTTGAAACTTAGGATAGTAACGATTGTAGCAAACAGACATATGATCGAGACAGTGCATCCAAATATCGTTATAGGAATCAGGTATTTTGGTGCGTAGATATATGTCGTGTCCTGTAAAGTTTATATTTGGTTAATTTCAACATTAATTGACACCTTTTAGTATTTAGTAATAGATATTATTTGCATACCAATACCAGTTCCAAATGTTAATGTGATAAAACGTCTGCGAACTATGAATTCGAATGGAAAAGACCATTTGCTTTCGGTGAAAGTTCAAAACCAAATCGTTAATAATATTCATATTAACACACATAAGCAATTTCATTTAATCAAATTCTCAAAAAATTTTTAGACTAAATTGAATCACAGGCAGCAATATTAATATTATTCTTTATCAATAACACAAAATTGTGAAAAACACGAAGATATTGAAATTCAGAACGTCTTACCAGCAAAACAGAGAAGTGGGTCATATGATCACACATACATGTGATTCGATCTCTTCGGTCTTGTAAAAGAGTTAAATTTCCACAAACTCTTTCTTCTTCTAAAGATTTTAGTATTCTACACCCATTCGTCGACCATTCGTTTGCGGTAATATTCCAGAACGCACAAATTGGAGTAATTTTACCTTTCATGTCCGGTATTTCCGGTGGTGTTGCGTTCTGTAAAAAGGGCAAATGAGTTTTATTCAATGCATTATCAACAAAACTAATTTATTACATAATATTTGATTATGCTTCAACATGTGAGAGTTGGGCACCATCAGGTAAGTTATTATTTACACAATAAAGTGAAAGCTTTTCCACACAAAGTATGATCATTTTGCGTACAACTATAATATTCAATATTACACGAAAGAGAATTGATGCGTATATATTTCGTTTTTTCTGATATCTAGAATAATTCATTTTTTCTATATAAAGCATCCAGCAATGTATATCCAAAATAACATCTCGAATGCGTTATCTGAGCACGTTTTATTTATTTGACGTTGCGTTACCTGAAAGTAGTCATAATTTGTCACGCAAATGGGATTTTTCAAATCAGTCATGTTGACGTTTTTTATGTCGACCGACAAAACATCGCTGATGAGAACGGGTACAAGAGCCAAGCTCGGATCTTCTCCAAACATCGGAGTTTCAAGAACACGAGATTTGTATGTTAAGTTTGATGCTTCTGAAAATCCCTTTTTGTATCTTCTTTCATTAACTTGAAATAAAGCAGGATTTCGGTAAAATATTGAACTAATCTGCACTTTTTCGATGGTTTTGTTCAGTTCTTTCGATTCCCGAGTAATAGCTTCGTTCAAAACTGCTGATGATAAGTAGATTTGTATGTTGTTATTGCTTATGGAGTTATTGGCGATCTCAGTTTCTCCAGTGATGTAAGAATCATTTTGCGTTGCCAGATTTATTTTGATTTCAACGTTAGTTTTGTTTGTCCGAAAAGCCCCGCTCTGAAAAGATTTTTAATTTTATATATTGCATTACATTCCAGTCATTTTGATCATATAACAAAAAACGAAAACAATGTTAAAATTTATTTATAATACAGAAAAATGGGTTTTCAAATAAAATGATTTTTTTAGTTTGGTTACTTTTGCTTAATTAAACGTCAATTGTTAATTTGAACAAAGCGCTAGAATGCGTTAACCATTAAATAGACCAAAATAAAAAGCAACTTAAATGTATCAAGTTGCCAAATATGTGTTTTAGCGTTTGAAGTTTGAAAGTTGCACCTGTCGTACAGTTAATTTACGAAATTTACCTTTTCCACGTCAAATTTATCTATAAATTCATCAAAAGCATTCAAAACGTCTCGCGATGTGTTTTTATCGTTCTCATGGAACTCATCATCCACTCCCAACAATTCATTGATTGCATTTGATATACTTTCAAGATTCGATGGGTTGCTGGATACTTCTTTTGTGTTCTTGATTAAATCTTTAGAAATTCTCAAATGATCTTCGGGATCATAGTAAGCCCGACCTTAAATTTAATTCGAACTTTAAGTTAGCTTCACAAAAACATTTCTATCACGACTCAAACAGGTTTATAAATGTTAAATTAATAAGATTCATTTGCTCGTTCATAATACAAGAACGCCTCTCCGTAGATCTGGCAGTTCGTTATACCGGAATATTTACAATTAGGACTTGTTTGTGAGTTGTCTTTTGTCTTATTGTTGTATCGTTTTCCGGTCGTTTTATAAGACTGTGAAGGAACTAAATATTTATACCTAAATGTTTCGTTAATAACCAGTAATATTACATTGACTAAAAATACTATTAAAGAGGGTATTATTTAAATCTAACACCTAAATACTTGCAATACACTTTGAATTTAGAACATTTACTCAGATTTGTATGTTTTTGGAAAGACAAATATTGTCAAAATATCATTGCACGATACATCGCTGCACGATCAATTTGATATTGACTTGTTTTCATGTCGCTTGTAGTTTCACAGTCGTGATAAAACTTACAATTCATTCAGCATTTCATGAACTATACTCTTACCTTTAGCCTGACATACATATTGGCTGAGAGGTGTTAACGTATAATTGCAATAATAATCATCCCAAGACCAACGCTGCTCTTTCCACAACCTAACGCATGTTGGCATTGTTATCTGCGTTGACGTTTTGTATGTGATGGGTTCACGTGGATGCCAATAACTATAACTATATAAAAATAACATAAAATTTAGAACAACTTGAAATTTTTGTTATGAATAATTGATTGTGTTACTATAATTCATATTCATTTTGCTATACTTCATCAGCTTGTTTACGTTCAAACATAACAATGTCGAAAAAGACAAAAAATTTTACTACATGTGTTATGAAATAGATTTAATATTTAAAAAACGTCTTACTCTGTAGAATCTTTTGACAGATTAAAAGGTTTTCCATCGCTCCAAACTCCATAGTCTCCGTCTTTACTTCGAAACAATTGTAATCCAATCCAAAGATCATTTTCAACGTTTGCGTCCCGTGCCAATATCATAATAGTTCTTTGCTGACTTCGGCTCAAAACACTTGCCAAAGTCCATCCATTCAATCGACAAACTCGGGCACCATCGACTTGAGTTGCGACTTCTTCAGATATATAATAGTAGTTTCCTCCAGATATGTGATCCTTACTGGGGCCAATCCAGCCTGAAATTGAAATAACCCAGGAATTATTGAACGATTATTGCTACAGAAAAATCGTATTTAAATTCGAAATTATTATTATTTTAATATTCTAATTGCATTACCTTCGGCCCTCTGACTCAGAGCAATCAAACACGCAATAGAAACAATTAAATTCCACATTGCAAACAACAAGTTTCAACTAGAATTTGATTCCAAAAATTGTTGCTGATCTTCAGCACAAGTCATGTAAATAATAATAATAATTTTATTCTGAAATGAAAACGTAGTTTTTGTTATATTGCTGCAGCAAATTTGTCATCGATGGCGTCATATTGAATTCTTGCTTCAGGTGATTTTGATCGGAAATGACTTTTAACACTACGTTAGCTTTCACGTAAAACCGTCGTTAGTTAGACATTAGCATCTGCCTCTCAGATCTACGTATGTGTTGGCTTGAACTGTGATGTTTTCTACCGCCGAAGGCAGATATACCATAACAAACTCCTCTTTACGTGCCTTTTAGGAGCTTCACTGAGAACAAACACCACCGAATAAAGTCCCATGTTCACATCCAAAAATTGCAGGTTTTGGCTAAACATTACCGACGCCGATGGGAAATTGTAAGAACATTTGACTGTCAAAATGAAACGAATGATGTGATATGCCAAGACGTCTATTCTATTCAGTCTGACTTCGGATTCACGTGCATCTTCAACGTGACATGTCGAAAGTGAGAAAATGCTTCAGTTCAAATACAGAATTTGCAACATATTTTCATATTTCATTTTTGAATTTAACATTAATTTGGGACTAACTTTTGAAAACTATTCATGTTATTATATTAAACACAACTAAACCAAGCAACGTTTATGATAGCAACATTTCCGATTGGCTGACTAAGAGTGAAATCATGCAAGTAAGTATTTGCATTGATCGTTTATTGCTTTTCAGACTTCCTCAATCTATAACACAACTCTTGCGACTAACAACGCAAAATACGTCTTTGACAAAATAAATACATTACGTGTATTCCGCGCTTCGATATTTCATCAACTGTTACGCATGACAATCTAAAGATAGTGTCAGCCTCTCATGCAACGATATGAAATGTCAAAAATGCCATCGCGACGCGTTGTCTTTTTTGTTCTCGCACCTCGACGTGCAAATTATTCTTTCCAAGAAAATATTGACCAGCGTATAGACTATGGCACGATCTCTGATGCATTGCTCCGTATATTACTGCATAGGGTCACAGATTACGTATATTTTACACTCGGTTGGAATTTAGTTTTATTGTTTTTTATGTGCGGAATGTCAAACTATTCTTGACCTCTGGCGTAAGAACGAAAATAATTAGTAATCACAAGTAGTTTTAATGAACTTAAAAACCGAAATTTAAATTGCATACATGTGCCAAATTTGTAGTCACGAATGTAATACACATAACTGTTTTGGACGTCTGGAAGACGTACTTGCAAGATTTGGGTTTGCTCGCTCTCGCAATTATGCTAAATCATTAATTAATGTTATTCAGAACATCTAATCGACGTTGAACTTGCACTGTCGTCACCACAGGAAAAATATTTCACTGCTTATGTTTTTAAATAATCTCTGGTGATTGGTTCGCTTATTTAACAACTAACTCTTTATTCCTTCCTCGCCGTGCATAATAACTATTTCATTTATGCAATCTTCAATGAAAACTCAGCTATGCGCAACTACCGCTGTTGTACAGTTTAATAGTTTATGATGTATTCATACAAAAGTGTTATAGTAATAAAAAAGAACTAAAAATATTGGCATAATACCACAGGATATACAAAGCAAAAATTATTCTCCAAGTAGATACGACAAAATCCCCCCTAGTTGGGAAACGCGGGGCTTGACAATCACAACAAATTTACAATTGAATTTACTACTCAAAGGGCGTCGCGGAAGATTCCACCTGACAATTATTGTTGTTAAATATAGTTCTTCTGAAGTCGGCTCAGCCTACTCTAAGACATGTGATGCTTAGTTTGTTTCATCAATACTACCGTTAAATCCGTCATTCTCATAAAATTCTGTTCTTCGGTCACCTAGATTAGAATGATTTTCATGCAACGCTCTCGCTACGTTTTCACTCCTTTTCATCCCTTAACGGTAAAGAATGTTGCAATCATAGAAGATGGGTAATGAACTCTTCGGGTTTTTGATCGAAAAATCAGTGGTATGTTGCCACTCTATATTTATCAGCAGCTATGTTACTTCTGGTGTCAAGAAAGGTTCAATCTAGAAGTTCCGTCTAGTCCAGAAAACTATTTGCAAAACATTTTTACACTGAACAAAACAAAAATATGTTATTGAATGCAATGCTGCCTTGTATAAAATAAAAATATGACAGCAATTGTTAAGGTTTTCTTTTGCATTGTATAATTATCCGCTGGAATGAAATACCGGGTATGGCGATATTTTGTAGCTATTGAATTCTAGGTGAGCAACAGCGCTTCGAAGTTATATGCCCTTTACTGGTTCTTTTATTGCATCAGTTTATCACCGGTATTTCTCGTCCGTAATCACTTTTATCGACTCGTAGAGAACCTAAGCGTGAACTCGAGCTTGACTAATCTGTTCTAAATATAATTCGCTGAATGTCAAAACAATAATATCAAAAATCGTGTTTTGGGAAGTATAATAATTCCTACTTTTCCCTATTTAAACTTCAACGGAAATAGAAATTACAATTCGTTGAAATCGGGCTGTTCATTCCAATTTTAGACTTCGCACTCCATATTTATTTTGATCTGAATTAGACCTGTATTCATCGTTTGCACAGACACCGCTAAGCACGTTTTACTGGCACGGGAAATTAGTGCGATTTTAACGCAGAATGAAAATACCATTTGATATTGAACATGATAATTTGGTTAACGGAACGTTCAACTAATACGTGCTTTTAAAACGTTTCGAAATTGTCTGCCTCAATGCTCATCTACATGTGGATATTAGAATCAACAAGACTAATTGAACCAATCTTTGGTGCTCAATTCTCCCTTTGTAATAAACGCGTAAAAAGTGTCTTTTATATAACAAACTATATGAATTTTTTATAAATATGTTGAGTTATTTCAAATTTACAATAAGAAATAACAGATTGGAGTCTATACGTAATAACGAGAAGTCACCCAATTTTAACAGAATTTACCATGAATCTGTAATTTTTTATTCTATATTCCAAAATAGATGCTGTCTGGAAGAGCAAAGGTACCGAATGACTCTACTAGAATTGAAAAAACTCTTGACTAATGATATTTTGCTATTCCTTTTGTTCTGAACTATAATATTTTCAAATGTCTTTCTTATTTAATATTCCATGCCTGGCAGACTTAGCTGATTCTCGTTATTGATGCATAAATTGCGCCAATAATTTGTCATTAATTCAACTTCTATCTTTGAACATGGCTGGAATTCTGGTATTCCTGTGAACTGTCATTAAAAAAACAATTAGTCAGAATTTAATTGGAGATACGAAAGATGAATATCTATTACACGTTATCGAAATATAATTTTCCAGAACAACTTGTCAGTCAGTATACGACGAAACTTTCGTTTTAGCAATGCCAGTGTATGCATTCTACAAATTAATTGTATGTATTGGCTAGCGACTATGGAAACACTACTTCCAAAGACATATTAAATTAATAAACCTGTAGCAGACATATCAACAATTGGCATTGGCAATTCTAATCTTAATATCAATGCATTTAGATGATTATATTCGCAGTGGTCAAAATGGGACCGACCACAATTAGAGGCCGCAAAAGTATCTGCTAATTTATTTTTTTTTAATTGTCAATATGATATCAGACATCCGAATTTTGCACCGGAAGCTTAAGAAACGCTGCGAAGCGAGTGAGTGACAGGGGATCAACCTGGTGTCAGAAAGGTTCCACTTCCGTTTCAGACTTTTTTCGTTTGTTTTATTATATTACTAAAATTTGGTTATTTCAAATAATTTGGCAAAGTCTAGTACTCTTCGAAATTTTTTATAAATTGCAATTGTTATGTGTTTTATAAAACTGTGAACATCCGTGGTATAAGATATGCCCGTAGCTCAAAAGAAATTTACACTGATTATTTTTTTTGCATTTTATGTCGAAACAAACGATTTGCCAGTTGGAATCACATGTGCCTGTTTTGAACCGGAAATAAAAATGATCTCTATTTCTATAAGTAGTTGTATTTACGTATATTCATCACGTTTATGGCTCGTCATCTAATTTTAAGAACATTGCGTCCTTACTTAATAAAGGTGTTCCAACCTCTATTGACCTACGTAATAATTAGAAAATTTGACGCTTGCGTTTTCCCGTTAATAGTGATTAGCGATAATATTATCATGAAATATTTGAATTCTGCCCAGTGTTAATTTTAATGCCTGCAATTTAGTTCCGGAGCATTTTTACAGAGTCCTTTCGTTATTACTGTGTTATTGATTTGAATTCTGTTAAATAAATATACCGTCGCGCGATTTTTTTTCCGTGAATACCATAAACCTCATGTTTGTGCTGATATATATTATAGAACTCGGATGGCGAACCATTTTTCAATTCATGGGTTAAAAAATGCATTTTTATTATTAAAAAAAAAGACTGTGGGTCATTAGTATTTAATCAATGTCCGCATCAAAGAAAAACTTGCTTCTGCATCTTTAGTAGGTGTTGTGTCATTTTGAGCTTTAAACATGTACCTATTATTTCTCGATTTTATACAATGCACGAGCGAAAATACAGGTACATACATATGACTTAACGAAAAACGTTTATAATGGTACGAAAAATCTTAACATGGTTTCAATACAATCTGGAATATAATTCCAGTCTGAAAAAAATGTATTATTCAATTGACTTCCAACCGTTTTAAAGTAAAACCCTTGCTAATAGATGATCATTAACCCAATACACCATTTAGGACTTGCCAAATCTGGAAAAGGCCACGAAAGATTAGCTCAGAAAGGGTTAATAACCATTACTACAGTAGTCCATTTACTGTTAGATTGAATTCAGTCCGTTTTATTATCAATATTTATCACTGAAATGTTAGTACGTATTTTGCATTAATTCGTGTTTTAGCGGATCACCAAAAAGGGTGGGTTAGCAAAAAGGTATTTTTCTTTTATTTTATTCACTTTAATTTGCAGGATTTATTTCAGTGGTATGAACGTTTTAGAAAATAAACTATGAGTTCTATTTTATAATTTTATTGTAT